ATGGGCAGTGCCAGCCACGTCCTCGGGTGCCAGTCCCTTTCCGCGCGCGAGCCCCGTACCTCTGTGCTTCTCTCCTGCAGCTTCTCTGGGTCTCAGTGTGCCTTTCCTTCCTTCTAGTTGTAGAATTTACAGTCAGCCAGGCTTCCTGTGGTTCTGGATGATGTCCGTATTGTTTTTCTGAGGTATTAATCAATTGTTGTGAGCGGCATTAATTTCCCGGTGTTTATCTCTGCCGCCATCTTAGTTTCCCCGGCATACTGTTCTTCAAGTTTGCCAATTCTTTCCCCTGCCTGCTCATAGCTACCTTTGAATCCCTCTATTAAGTTTTTCAGCTCCGAGTTTTCTATCTCTTGATGGATATTTCCATTTTGCTTATACATCGTTTTTTATTTTCTTCATATCATCTTCCTTTGAGCATCTTTAAGAGAATTGTTTAGCTTTGTCTAGCAAGCGTGCCACCTGATCTTTCTCAGGGATGCTTCTGTTGTGGGTGTGTTTCCCCCCTTGAATGGACCATATGTTCCGTTTCTTTGTTTGCCTTATGATTTTGTTGTTGAAAACTGGGTATTTCAATCAAATAATGTCGTGACTGGAAATAAGATTCTCCCCCTTCCCTGGGTTTGCTGATTTTTGCTTTTTGATTTTTGATTGCTGTAAGCCGTGCCTGTGCCAGTGACTTTATACATACCCCTGTGTCTGTGGTTGCTTTTGAATGTCCTACATGTCTGGCTCTTAAAAGGGGAAAATAAAGAGTGATGGGAGGGGGAGGAGGAAGTGGGGAGGGGGGAAGAGGAAGAAAAAGGGTGCTGGCCCTTTAAGTCCCCTGGACTTCGATTTAGTTGGACAGGGAGGGTCTTGCAGTAGTAGGAGTGCCATAGTGCAAAGATCAAAACCACGAACCTAATTCAAACGTCACCATTTTTTTCACAAATGTCTTTCTGCTTCAGGATTCACCGTTGCATTTAGTTCTGTTTCCTAGTGTCCCCAGTCTCTCTCCGTCTTCTCTTTTCGTGATGTCCTTGTGCGGTGTCTCTTGATTCGGCACATTTTTGGCAAGAAGACCGCGGAAGTGATGTTGTGCCCCTCGCATCACACTGGGGTTACAGGTTGTCAGCGCGTCTGGTTACGGGGCGTGCTAACCCCGGTCACTGGCTCAGGTGGCTTCTCCACTGCAAACTACGCTCGCCCCTTTGTCATTAACAAATATATCGGAGGCCATACTGTGAGACAGTGTGTTTATCCTGTTTCTCTTGTCTTTTGGTCACCGATTTTAGCATCCATTGTAGATGTTGCCCTCGCTGGTTATTACTGGGCTGTTTGTATTTCTCTCATTCCTTCTTCATTTATCTATTTATGTTTTAAATATATTTTCATTGGTTTCAGAGAGGAAGGGAGAGGGAGAGAGATAGAAACATCAATGATGAGAGAGAATCATGGATCGGCTGCCTCCTGCACCCGCTACTAGGGATGGAATTTGCAACCCAGGCATGTGCCTGGAATTGAACCCAGAGCCCTTCAGTCCGAAGGTTGATGCTCTATTCATGGGCCAGGGCTCCTCCTACATTTTAAAAAAACATTTAATCACCGTTATTTATTTATTTTTTGTTCGTTTGTTTTTGTTAATTCTCACCCGAGGATATTTTTCCATTGATTTTTAGAGAGAACAGAAGAGAGGGAGAGACAGAGAGAAACACCGATGTGAGAGAGACATATTGATTGGCTGCCTCCTGCAGGAGCCCTGACCAGAGCCCAGGCTGGGGCCTGCAACCAAGGTACATGCCCTTGACGGGAATCAAACCCGGACCCTTTGGTCCACAGGCTGATGCTCTATCCACTGAGCCACACCAGCCAGGGCCTTACATGTATTTATTATTCAGCTCCTTGTTACTATCAGTGTAGACTCCTGGACGAGTTCTAATCCAAGGCTATCATTGATGTTTTTGCTCCACTCGCTCTAATTCTGATGGCTGGAAGCTCCTTCAAGTGAGCGCCTGTGCCCCTCCAGCATCCTCCTCCCGTTCTGCAAGAGCATGCTTATCTTCCTCATGCAGATGATTCGGGGGAGACTGTTTAGTGAAGAGACCGATGACAAAGGTCCTGGCAGGATTGTGGAACTTAGCGGGGGACACTGAGGCATGAGGGACTAGCAACAGGGGAAACTATGCATCCCATCGGCCCACAGGTGCAGGCAACGGGCCTGGAGTCTGGGGAGAGCTGAGCTGTGAAAAGGGGCCCCTGCTTTCCGTAGCTGATGTGCTGGTTTCCTGGGCAGGGAGTCCCTGTGCCCTGTCCACATGGCTGGGCAGGGAGCTGGGGTGGCAAGTGGAAGGCGCCTGCTTGTGGGTGTTTTTTTGTTGTTTTTTTTAGGTTCTGGTTGGTTTCCAGAGCCATTTCCCAAGCGCCCACATTCTGGGCAATGCCCTGGAGTCGGAGGACTGCGGTGCCAGGTGCAGTGACGCCAGTTCCAGGCTGGAAACTGCCCCGGGAGAGGGAGGGAGAGGGAGGGCTGACCCGTCAAACTGGGTGGGCAGGAGCCTGGAGGAGCAGGCGGCCCCACTCCTTGGGCTGGGGGCGGAGCCTGGCCCTGCTCCAGCTGCAGCTGTTGGAGGTCAGCATGCCAGCACCCGCCTGGGCTGGAGGGGGGAGGGGGGGCCAAGGGTGACCCCCAGTGACCCTGAGCCAGCAGGTGCACCTGAGCTGCCCTGTGGATTTCTCCCGCCCGCTCTGGTGCTTTTTCTTTTTTAAAAAATTACATTTTTATTGACATCAGAGAGGAAGGGAGATGGAGGGAGAGAAACATCCGTGATGAGAGAGAATCACAGATTGGCTGCCTCCTGCACGCCCCACACTGGGGATCCAGCCGCAACCCGGGCCTGTGCCCTG